AAAAAGACTGCATGTGTTTAACCCATTCATGACTGGAGGTCATTATGCATCAGGCTATTTGACACTGAGGCTAGGTTCACACTACCCTGCATGCTGCTGGCTGGCCGCAGGAATTGATGCGATCTCCGCACCCGCAACCACCCACAGCCGCATCGCGCTTCTCTTGCGAAAACGCAGGGGTGACATTCATTCTGAATGGCAAACCCACGCATTTCATCCCGGGAAAGATTGCGAGAACCACAAAAAAGACAATACGGTTTCTCTGCAGATGCGTTTCAGAAAAGGTGCCCCGCCCAAACCGGTCCTAAATCTGTTTTGTTTTTTTTGTTTTTTTTTTAAACAAAAAAAAAAGGATGTTATTTCATACACAGCTTTAATAAATAATCTACGGTACTTATTATTTTTGATGATAAGCTGACAAATAGTCAAAATAGGACTTTTAAAATAATTTTTTTCACAAAAATAATGTTTTTCATTTAAATGTTGAAACTTTTTATTTTTTTAAAAAAATGATCTTATCACATTGGGGCTTTAAAAAAAAAAAACATTCTTTGGATTAATGTCACACACTTTTGTACATGCTGCAGGAATTCTGGCCATATGTTTTTTTAAAGTTTTACTAAATTCTAAAAAAAACTCCAAATATATATAGTTAGGTCCATATATATGTGATTTATAGATATATGTGAATTTTTGATTTTTTCATGTATTTACCAAAACATATTCAAGCTATAGTTATATAATGGATATGGGCGGACAGTGCGCACTCTCAGGTGTAATTTGAGGGTATGTATATCCAGATTAGAGAAAGGGTTTAGGAATTACAGCTCTTAAGAGTAGCCATCCCCCTTTTTTCGAGGGACCAAAAGTAATTGGACAATTGAATCAAAAGCTGTTTCATGGCCAGGTGTGGGCTACTCCTTCATTATTTCTGCATCATTTAAGCAGGTAAAAGGTCTGGAGTTGATTCTAAGTGTGGTATTTGCATTTGGAATCTATTGCTGTGAACTTACATAATGCGTTCAAAGGAGCTGTCCATGAATTAGGCCATTGTAAGGGTTCAAAAAAGAAACAAATCCATCAGAGAGATCGCAGCAACATTAGGAGTGGCCAAACACTGGTACATTCTGAGGAAAGAAGAATGCACTGGTGAGCTCAGCAACATAAAAAGGCATAGACGTCCACGGAAGACAACAGTGGTGGATGATCACAGGATCCTCTCCATGGTAAAGAGAAACCCATTCACATTCACAACATCCAGACAAGTGAAGGACACTCTCCAGGAGGGGGGCGTTTCAATGTCAAAGTCTACAATCAAGAGAAGACTTCACGAGAGCAAATATGGAGGGTTCACTACAAGGTGCAAACCATTCATAAGCCTGCAGAATGGAAAAGCCAGATTAGACTTTGCCAAAAAACATCTAAAAAAGACAGACCAGTTCTGGAAAAGAATTCTTTGGACAGATGACAGTAAGATGAATCTGTACCAGAATGACGGGAAGAAAAAAGTGTGGAGAAGACTTGGAACAGCTCATGATCTAAAGCATACAGCATCATCTTTAAAACATGGTGGAGGCAGGGTGATGGCATGGGCATGCATGGCTTCCAGTGGCACTGGGTCATTGGTGTTTATTGATGATGTGACAGAAGACAGAAGCAGCCGGATGCATTCTGCAATGTTTACAGATGTACTGTCAGCCCAGATTCAGCCAAATGCAGAAAGTCGATTGGACGGCGCTTCACAGTACAGATGGACAATGATCCAAAACACACTGCAAAAGCAACCCAGGAGCTTTTGAAGGAAAAGAAGTGGAATATTCTGCAATGGCTGAGTCAGTCACCTGATCTCAACCCAATTGAGCATGCATTTCACTTGCAGAAGGCAAAACTATAGGCAGAAAGACCCACAAACAAAGAACAACCGAAGACAGCTGCAGTTAGAGCCTGGCAAAGTATCAGAAAGGAGGAAACCCAGTCATTGGTCATGTCCATGGGTTCCAGACTTCAGACAGTCATTGTCAGTAAAGGATTATGTTCATTTGTCCAATTAATTTGGTCCCTTGAAAAAGGGGGGATGGTTACTCTTAAGAGCTCTAATTCCTAAGCCCTTCCTCCAATTTGGATGTACATGCCCTCAAATTAAACCTGAGAGTGCGCACTTTCAGCCCATATCCATTATATAACTATAGCTTGAATATGTTTTGGTAAATACCTAACAAAACTAAAATTGTGTCTGTGTCCAAATATATATGGACCTAACTGTATATATACTGTATATCAGTTCATAGATCTGTAAACAGTTTGTCTATTTTTTTTTTCTTAATTAAGGATTTTATTTCATACATGGTTTTAATAAACACCCTACCTATTCCTTTTTTATTTTAAGCTGACAAATGATCAAAATGTGATTTAAAAAAATAAAATTTTTACAAAAATAAAGTTTTTTCATTAACTATTGTTACTTTTTAAATATTATTGTTATTTTTTTAATATTATTTGTTAAATGTTGGCACCTATTTAAAAAAAACATTTATTAGATTAATCTCACACACTTTTTTGCATGCTGTCAGAATTCTGGCCGTAATATTTTTTAAAGTGGTGGTAAATTCTAATATATATATATATATATATATATATATATATATATATATATATATATATATATAAAAAATATATATATATATATATATATAGTATATTTTATATATTCTAGATATACACTGTAGATGCATTATTTGACAATAAATCTGTAACTAATTTGTCTACCTATTTTTTAGATCTTTTTTAAAGACAAATAGGGATTTTCTTTCATATATGGTTTTATTAAATACCCTACTTATTCCTTTTTTTATTTTAAGCTGACAAATTATCAAAATGTGATTTTTTTTTTTTTTTAATATATTTTACAAAAATAGTTTTTCATTCATAGGACCTATTTAAAAAAAACATTTATTGGATGAATGTCACACACTTTTGTGCAAGCTGTCAGAATTCTGTCCGTAATATTTTTTAAAGTGGTAGTAAATTATAATAAATAAATATAATAGACTGTGTATATATATATATATATATATATATATATATATATACAGTGGGGATCGAAAGTTTGGGCACCCCAGCTAAAAACTTGTATTAATGTGCATAAAGAAGCCAAGGAAAGATGGAAAAATCTCCAAAAGGCATCAAATTACAGATTAGACATTCTTATAATATGTCAACAAAAGTTAGATTTTATTTCCATCATTTACACTTTCAAAATAACAGAAAACAAAAAAATGGCGTCTGCAAAAGTTTGGGCACCCTGCAGAGTTAATATCTTGTACTGCCCCCTTTGGCAAGTATCATAGCTTGTAAACGCTTTTTGTAGCCAGCCAAGAGTCTTTCAATTCTTGTTTGAGGTATCTTTGCCCATTCTTCCTTACAAAAGTCTTCCAGTTCTTTGAGATTTCTGGGCTGTTTGTCACGCACTGCTCTTTTTAAGGTCTATCCATAGATTTTCAATTATGTTGAGGTCAGGAGATTGTGAAGGCCATGGCAAAACCTTCAGTTTACGCCTCTTGATGTAATCCCCTGTGGATTTCGAGGTGTGTTTAGGATCATTATCCATTTGTAGAAGCCATCCTCTCTTTAACTTCAGCTTTTTCACAGATGGCATCAAGTTACCATCCAAAATTTGCTGAAATTTTATTGAATCCATTTTTCCTTCTACTCGTGAGATGCTCCCTGTGCCACTGGCTGCAACACAACCCCAAAGCATGATTGATCCAACCCCATGCTTAACTGTTGGACAGAGGTTCTTTTCATTAAATTCTGTGCCCCTTCTTCTCCAAACGTACCTTTGCTCATTCCGGCCAAAAAGTTCAATTTTAACCTCATCGGTCCACAGAACTTGTTTCCAAAATGCATCAGGCTTGTCTATATGTTCATTTGCAAAGTTCAAACGATGATTTTTGTGGTGAGGATGTAGAAGAGGTTTTCTTCTGATGACTCTTCCATGAAGACCATATTTATACAAGTATCTCTTTATGGTGGAATAGTGTACCACAACTACAGTGTCTGCCAGATCTTTGTGGAGGGATCGTGCAGTCAAACGTGGGTTTTGAATTGTTTTTCTCATAATCCTGCGAGCTGTTCTGTCTGATATTTTTTTTGGTCTTCCAGATCTTGCTTTAACTTCCACTGTTCCTGATGACTGCCATTTCTTAATTCCATTCCGAACAGAGGATATTTACATCTGAAAACGCTTTGCTATCTTCTTATAGCCTTCTCCAGCTTTGTGAGCGTCAACTATTTTCAGTTTCAGTTTTCTAGACAACTGCTTAGAAGAACCCATGGTGCTGATTGTTGGGGCAAGGTCAGATGAGTCTGGGCATTTAAAACCTTTGAGATTGACATCGCCTGGTCTTCCCAGACGATGATTGAGAACAATCCATGACACTGGCAGGTCTCAGCATTGCAAAGGGGGCAGTGCATGCTATAAATTCTGCAGGGTGCCCAAACTTTTGCAGACGCCATTTTTTTGTTTTCTGTTATTTTGAAAGTGTAAATGATGGAAATAAAATCTAACTTTTGTTGACATATTTATAAGAATGTCTAATCTGTAATTTGATGCCTTTTGGAGATTTTTCCATCTTTCCTTGGCTTCTTTATGCACATTAATACAAATTTTTAGCTGGGGTGCCCAAACGTTCGATCCCCACTGTACATACAGAAAAGTGCTTTTTGTGAATGTAGCCCACAATTCACACACCCTATGAATTAGGAAAATGTTTGTAACAGATTTTCCCTTACCGGCTCAATGAGCAAGAATAAGAGTTTGTGTAGATCAATTGGTAATTTCATGAAAGAAAAGGTTTTCTCCAAAACTACTCTGCTCATTCCTAACAGACATGCAGAGACACAGAGCCAAGATTCAGGCCGCTGCAGTCAGTAAATAACCATTAGTGGACTTCTTTTTATGTACCGCCAACATTGTAACTGACTCTTATTTTTTTTTCCAGACCAGTTTCAAGGAACCGTCCTCCTGAAGAACATCAGCACTGCAACCTCAGGAAGATATCAGTGTGTCTCATCCAATCTTATGGGAACCAGAACCTGCCTTCTAGACCTGCAAGTCGTGGCACGTAAGTTCACCTAACATCTCTGAAAACTGTTGTGATTACACATCGCCAGGATCCAGCTGGGACTTTCAAAAGCCTGCCTCTGACCCAGTTATATTCAATGTAGTGCCATTCTAGCCTAGGATGCTAGGCACATTTAGTTTTTGGCTCCATCCTTAATCAAAGGAGCAGTGATTGCTTAGCCTGATCTGTCCAGGGCTTCAACGGCTGGGAGTTTTATTGCTTCCCCTGCCTCTGGAAGAAGCTTCCAGAGTTTAGGGAGGATGAGTCAAATGACCAACCTGAATATTTATCATGCTCCAGGCAATCCCTGGAGAGAAGTGTCAAGAAGGGGGGATGGAGAGGTAATAAATAGTCTGAAGTACTGAAGAGCTGGCTTTCTTCTCACCAGGAGGGTTCCAAAGCCTGAGGGGCTGCTGCCCTGTGGATTGTGTGGCTGTTTTGGAGGCCTCAGCAGTGTCAGGGCTGGGGGCCTGGATGGATCCTCTTAGAAGCTGGGTGCGGAACCTCACCACAAGGGATCTGGTTGGCAGAAGGACTGCTTCACTCACTGGACTGTGTCCAGAGGAAGCTGGAAGGTAGCAGCTGTCCTGGGGACTTGTAGGTAAAGACGCTAAATAAATCCTTGTGACTGTGCAGTGTTCTGGAAATCCTATTGGCTACCAGTAATCATACATAGATAAAAGGTAAGAAGATGCCAAAGAGAACTGCCTCATGGCCTTCAGCCTTGGGGGCTTAGACTGTCCAATATTCACAATTACCTAAGAAGATTGTCCTCTAATAGTTACTTGCCAATCGTTTTTGGAGTATCCCATGTCCTAACCCCTCTCCTTTTTAGAGTTCTTCAAGCAGTAAATCCTAAAAAGATACCCCCCTAGACTGTGTTGGAGCCGGCGTGCTTGGACTTGTGCTTGTGGTGCTGGGCAGCCTCTCTACTATTTGGGAAGGACCAGCTATAGCCTGTGGCCCTTAAGGGGTTAGCGCTACAACATTGTTCCATACCCCTCCCTCTTCCAAGGCAATTGCTGCAAAATTCCCTGGTATGAAGGAGCATATGATCCAAATTAAAAGGTATGCGCTAATAACAAACTTATACAGAAGTGTATATCATCATCCAAAAAAACATTAGTGTTTTAAATAAATTATAGTGTCCAAACATAAATTAGTGTCCAAAAAAATATATATATCTTCAGTGACTTGAACCAATTGTGAGAAATCCACCACCAAAGGAGATTAAATGAACTCACCAGAGCTAATGGCTGGTCAGATTATAAACCAGCAACAGCGCTTGTGCTCTGGGAGCAATGAACCCGATGTCCAAATAGATATGGTGATGTTTCAGATACTTCCAGATAATAATAATCACAGACAAACAACTTTGCAGCCCAAGCTCTTATGATGAACTTCTCCACTCTTTCTCATACCTCCATGAGAGCATGCAGTACACTCAGGGACAAAAAAGAGAACATAATGGTGCAATACGTTTTTTTCATTTATCTCTTTTATAAAAAAGGTATAAGGAAACTCACAAACAAGGTGTCCAACAGACACCAGCTTCAATCGCAAAAAAGGGTTGAGATACAGTTAACGCTCACCGCAGATCTCTCCCATACAGCACAGACCAGCAAGGCTCTCTAACGTCCACATCAAGTAGGCTACGCCCAACCGGTTTCGTCACACCGACGTCATCAAGGGGCGTCACACGTCTGTGTGACGAAACCGGTTGGGCGTAGCCTACTTGATGTGGACGTTAGAGAGCCTTGCTGGTCTGTGCTGTATGGGAGAGATCTGCGGGGAGCGTTAACTGTATCTCAACCCTTTTTTGCGATTGAAGCTGGTGTCTGTTGGACACCTTGTTTGTTTGTGAGTTTCCTTATACCTTTTTTATAAAAGAGATACATGAAAAAAACGTATTGCACCATTATGTTCTCTTTTTTGTCCCTGAGTGTACTGCATGCTCTCATGGAGGTATGAGAAAGAGTGGAGAAGTTCATCATAAGAGCTTGGGCTGCAAAGTTGTTTGGCTGTGATTTTTATTATCCGGAAGTATCTGAAACATCACCATATCTATTTGGACATCGGGGTTCATCGCTCCCAGAGCACAAGCGCTGTTGCTGGTTTATAATCTGACCAGCCATTAGCTCTGGTGAGTTCATTTAATCTCCTTTGGTGGTGGATTTCTCACAATTGGTTCAAGTCACTGAAGATATATATATTTTTTTGGACACTAATTTATGTTTGGACGCTATAATTTATTTAAAACACTAATGTTTTTTTGGATGATGATATACACTTCTGTATAAGTTTGTTATTAGCGCATACCTTTTAATTTGGATTATTGTTGCCAAAATTTATTTTGGGTGGGATATGCTGCTGACACTTTGGTGTTTTTTGTAAGTGGCGCTTTTTTCTTTTTTAATTTGATGAAGGAGCATATGACCTGCTCAGATGATGTGTGATGCTCCGGTCTGGTGGCCAATCATTAGGTTTAAACACTGTCACATGATTAAGGGGGTGATGTCATCACTCTATAAGCTCTGACAGCAGTCAGCCTTGGGAATTTGTGATGGTTTTATTGTAGGAAGGAGCAGTGGAGAGCTGATGTAAAGATAAATGTAACTGGTTCAATGGAACTGGAGACCCTATATATATAAAACTTCAAACCTGTTCAAGATCCCCCCTTTTTAGAAAATGTCTGATATTTTAAAGGCAGAAACATGGATCAAAAAGTCTTGGAATGGCTCCGGGACCGGAATATCCAAACAGAGTTACTTAACTAAGTTAACTTCGACTTCTCTCACTCATGGGAGACTCTTGGAGTTACCTCTCTTGGCTTGTTCTGGTATGTTGTGGCAACCCTGTCTGTGGGCGGGGTTACAACACCCAAGTGTGGACCTGGAGGAAGTGCTCGCTAGCGCCCCCAAAGGCAAGATGAGGCTACCATTTCATGCAAGGCTGGTGTTAAGGCAACGCTCTAACTTAACAGTGATGCTTCTCCAAGAGAACACCATTAACTCCTTGTGATCCATGGCCCAACTTCTGCAGCTCTTTACATTGTACATGACGGATGACAGTTACTCAATATAATTCATAACTTTTCTCTCCGTATGGTGCAGCATTTCTGAACCACTATCGCTGAGCCTGTACAAGACTCCACCAGCCCAGTTACCCATCACCTCACTTCCAGTGACATTGATTCGTATATTACCAGGGCTTTTTTTCAGCGGGAACGCGGAAGAACGCAGTTCCGGCATCTCCAGCACTGAATGTATGTAATGGCAAGGGGTGCTGGGGTGTGCTTGAGGATCTATTGTTGCTGGCTGCTGGGGGCTCTATTGCCACTGAAGGGGATCTATTTTTGTATGGTGGTCTATTGTTGCTGGGGAGGTCTATTGTTAATGGGGGTCATTTGTTGCTGTAAGGGATCTACTGTTGAGGGAGGGGTCTACTGTCTATTGTTGCTAGCTGCTGGAGACTCTAATATGCTGGCTGCTAAGAGATCTGTTGTAGCTGCAGAGAGTCTATTGTTGCTGAGGTGTTATGTTGTTTTGGGGACCAATTGTTGCTGGAGGAATCTATTGTTGTTGGTGGGGAGTCTTTGCTGCTGGCAGAGTCTATTGCTGCTGGCTGTGGGGGATCTATTTTTCTGCTTTTCTTGTTATCATTAACAAATTCCGTACAAATTATTTAGCACCACAGAATGATATTTGGCTCTGTATTTTCTAAAAAGAGAAGAGGTACTAGGAGGTGGGTAGGGGCTGGAACCAAGTGATGGTGCTCAGAGGTGGGTAGGGGGCAAAGACAGGAAGTAACTCAGAAAGGGGGAGTTGCTCTACCTATTTTTGGAGAAAAAAGGCCCTGTATTTTACACTTGAATACTAGGAAACTTGGCTCTTGCACATAACCTGTGCTCAGGGGCGGATTGACAACTCATGGGGCCCCCGGGCAATAGGGGATCATGGGGCCCCTGTGTCCTTGCCCAAACTCAAAAAAGCCTACGAAAAAGGTACCAGGGGCATCTCATGGGGCCCCCTACTGACCCCGGGCCCTCGGGCAGTGCCCGAATTTCCAAATGGTCAGTCCGCCCCTGCCTGTTCTTATTCTTCCCCAAGGCCTCATTCCATCTTCTGTGATTTCCAGACTGGGTCCCTAGGATACCTGTGTCATGAGTCAAACCCAGTATTGAGGTTCCGGTCACTAGGAAAGGAGCCTAAGCACACAAGCTCCTTCATTACCTGGGCCTTCTGTCACCTTTCCCAAGTCACACTTCTTCTTCGCCGGCTGGCTGCTTATGCACCCAACCCTAGTGCTGTAGTCATTAGCAATGGCAATATAGCCAGCTTCACTGCGCTTTAGACATTTGTACTGAATCTGCTCTAACTTGTCTTGACCCCCGTTTTTCTGATACGCCATACATGCACCCCTTTAAGATTGTCCTCACGTAACTTCAGACCAGGCCACATTGAGTTGTTTAAAAATAACAAATGAACAGTTCAACACATGCCTGTACATAGTCTTCTAAATGGCACTTTCCCATGAGGTAGTCATACCATGAATAGACGTCCTTAGAGCCCTTTATTCAAGAGGTAGTCATACCATGAATAGACGTCCTTAGAGCCCTTTATTCAAGAGTCCATACCCCTGAAACCCTGACTGGGATTCCAGAGGGGTGGTGAAGTGCAAAGTTGTCACACGTATTTCCTTAGATGGGGACACCTGGAACTGAACCTCCAGCCATCTTTCTAACTGGGGCACCCCTGAGAGGTGGTTCCCTCTATTTTTATGTGTAACCTTTACCTCCCAGAGAGTACCTCAGCAGGGCAAACCCAAAGAAACCATACTTCATGGTTTTTAATTCAAACTACATACGGCAATTAGGAAACAGAAGAACATTTCAACAAATATAAAATATTTAACATTCACCTGCTTACATGCCTGTCTTTGTGTCCTCAGCTCAGCACAAGAGTGTGGGCCTCATTGCTGGAGCCATTGCTGGAGGAATCCTGGTGCTGGTTATCTGCATTGTGGTGGTAGCTGTGGGTCTGGTCTACTGGAGGAATAAACACAAAGAGGAAGAAGATGAAATCCCCAATGAAATAAGGTAACAAATGCTCATTCATCTTTGTTCTCTGGTGTGTTCATGTGCCCAAGAGGTTCTTTCAAGACAATATAATGAGAAAGATGTTATGGTGAGAAGGGACTAAAGGAATAAAAAGTCCCCCAGCAAAATCATTGTGAAGCACAGTAATGCCTCCTTGGAACTGAAGGTATACACATACAGTTGTGACCAAAATTATTCAACCCCCACTGAAATTGAGTGTTTTGGCCATTTGACATTGCTTTTGATCATTCAGTCATCTTGCTTACATTTACATTAAAGAGGCACTTGTAGGTCAGACAAAATATAACATAACAGTTATAATGAAATAACCACAAATGTCTTTTCTGTGCTCACAGCATTATCAGTTTTATTCAACCCCCAAGTGACATTCAATCTTAGTACTTAGTACAGCATCCTTTTACAGTTATAACAGCTTTTAAACGTGAAGCATAGCTTGACACAAGTGTCTTGCAGCGATCTACGGGTATCTTCGCCCATTCTTCATGGGCAAAGGCCTCCAGTTCAGTCACATTCTTAGGCTTGCGCACTGCAACTGCTTTCTTTAAGTCCCACCAGAGGTTCTCAATCGGATTTAAGTCTGGTGACTGCGATGGCCACTCCAAAATGTTCCAGCCTTTCCTCTGCAACCATGCTCTAGTGGACTTGGAGGTATGCTTGGGATCATTGTCCTGTTGAAAGGTCCAACGTCTCCCAAGCCTCAGGTGTGTGACGGACTGCATCACGTTTCCATCCAATATCTCCTGGTACTGAAGAGAATTCATGGTACCTTGCACACGCTGAAGCTTCCCTGTACCTGCAGAAGCAAAACAGCCCCAAAGCATGATTGACCCTCCACCATGCTTCACAGTAGGCAAGGTGTTCTTTTCATCATAGGCCTTGTTCTTCCTCCTCCAAACATAGCGTTGATCCATGGGCCCAAACAGTTCTAATTTTGTTTCATCAGTCCACAGAACACTATCCCACAACTTTTGTGGTTTGTCCACATGGCTTTTGGCATACTGCAGTCGACTCTTCTTATTCTTTGGAGACAGCAAGGGGGTACGCCTGGGAGTTCTGGCACGGAGGCCTTCATTACGCAGTGTGCGTCTTATTGTCTGGGCTGAAACTTCTGTACCCACATCTGACAAATCTTTTCTCAGTTCCTCAGCAGTCACACGGGGACTTCTCTCCACTCTACGCTTCAGGTAGCGCACAGCAGTCGAAGTCAGCATCTTCTTTCTGCCACGACCAGGTAGCGTTTCAACAGTGCCCTTTGCCTTGAATTTGCGAATGATGCTTCCTAAGGTGTCTCTTGGTATGTTTAACATCTTTGCAATCTTCTTATAGCCATTGCCCTTCCTGTGAAGAGAAATCACCTCTTCTCTTGTCTTCCTGGACCATTCTCTTGCCTTCACCATGTTTGTAACCACACCAGTAAATGTCTAGAAGGAGCTGAGTATCACAGTCATTTTAAAGCTGCCTAATTGGTGCTTATTATGCTTGATTGCTGCTCGGTGACATCCACAGGTGTTTTCAATACCTGATGGAAAGCACCTGTATGAACCTCTGTTCTTCAGAGTGGTAGTCTTTAAGGGGTTGAATAATTGTGGCAATGAAGAAACCACATAAGAACCATTTACTACTGTATTACATAAACAATTGATGTCATTTTAGTTGCATTTGGGTAGTTACAACGTCCTTGTAGGATTTGATTCTGAATACAATTCTGGGGGTTGAATAATTTTGGTCACAACTGTATCTCCTTCCATTGATTATCCCCAAAAAAGAGGACTATCCCCAATTTCAGAGCCATGCAAATAATATTTTTTCATGTTTTCATTTTTTTTCATCTTTGTAAAAGACTTTCACTTGTTCATATGCTTGTGGTTTCATTTTCTGTATATTGTATTTCATATATTGTAGCCTTGCATGGTGCATTGGGTTTCAGCACCAAGAAACCAAAACTGGTAGTTTTCTGCCAAAACAAGTCAAAATAATACTGTTCTCCTCATCACCTCCTAACCTCATTCTAACCCTTAGCCTGAACACAACACTAAAACACCTAAAGTCACCCCAGGTACGACCACAAAACCCAAACCCTAAAATTAACAACAAAAACTGAGAGGTCTATTTATAAATGTAATCACTAGAGATGAGCTTGGGACGTGTTCAGGTGCTACACCGAACCCAGGTGATTGAACCCGTCAGGAAGCTGTCATTTGGAACCTCAATAGACATAGACAGGGGAATTTATCCTGTATCTGAATGTAATTTTGTTTTTAAATTATATTTATTACTATAGACTGACTTCAAATGTATATTTATTTTTTATATTTAGGGCTTGGTTAGGGCCTTTAGGTGAGACAATTACCCTTTAGGAATGAGCAGAGGTTTTGCTTTGACCAAAATGTTGTCAAATATAGCCTCTAATTTCCCCGCTTCAGTCTATCCTGAATACTGCGGCCAGACTCATCCACTTTACTAACCGCTCCGTATCCGCCACCTCCCTCTGCCAATCCCTCCACTGGCTTCCGATTGCCCAACGGATCAAATTCAAAATGCTAACCTTGACGTACAAAGCTGTTCATAACACTGCCCCAAACTACATCACCGACCCGATATCCAAATACCACCCCAAATGTACTCTCCGCTCCTCACAAGACCTCCTACTCTCTAGTTCCCTGGTCTCCTCCTCCCATGCCTATCTTCAGGACTTCTCCAGGGCTTCCCCATCCTCTGGAACTCCCTACCCCAATCCATCAGACTATCACCTACCCCCCTCTCCTTTAGACGCACCCTGAAGACCCATCTCTTCAGGGAAGCCTACCCCGCCTTCAGCTAATTGCCGATCTCCTCCACTCTTCCTACCATTCCATCCCCCACAGCTATCTCCTCCTGTACCACCATCCCCTTCCTCCTAGATGGTAAGCTGCAAGGAGCAGGGCCCTCGAACCCCTCGTGTATTGAATTGTATTGTTACTGTACTGTCTCGTGTATTGTCTCCCATTGTAGTGTACAGCGCTGAGCAAACCATTGGCGCTATATGAATACTGTATAATAATAATTTCATCATATTTTCTGCTTAGGTGAAGTTTAGTTAAAGTATATAAATATTTACCTTCATGAAAAACAAAGCTTTTGCTGAAATTTTGAACATTTTGATAAAATGTTGGCAATGGTAAAAATGGTCAGTTTTGCTTAACTTTACTGCCTATACAGTGGATAAAAAGTCTCCATACCCCTGTTAAAATGTCAGATTTCTGTGATGTAAAAAAGAAACGAGACAAAGATAAATAATTTCAGAACGTTTTCCACCTTTAATGTGACCTATAAACTGTACAGTGCAATTGAAAAACAAACAGAAATCTTTTAGGGGGGAAGTAAACATAAAACACTAAAATATTGTGGGTGCATAAGTGTGCACACCCTCTTATAACAGGGGATGTAGCTGTGTTCAGAATTAGGCAATCACATTCAAAATCATGTTAAATAGGAGTCAGTACACACCTGCCATCAAAAGCCATGGTCTGCAGAGAGCTTCCAAAGCATCAGAAGGATCTCATTGTTAAAAGGTATCAGTCAGGAGAAGGGTTCAAAAGAATTTCCAAGACATTAGATATACCATGGAACACAGCGAAGACAGTCATCATCAAGTGGAGGAAATATGGCACAACAGTGACATCACCAAGAACTGGACGTTCCTCCAAAATTTATGAAAAGATGAGAAGAAAACTGGTCTGCGAGGCAGCCAACAGGCCTACAGTAACATTAAAGGAGCTGCAGGAATATCTGGCAAGTACTGGCTGTGTGGTCCATGTGACAACAATCTCCCGTATTCTTCATATGTCTGGGCTATGGAGTAGAGTGGCAAGACAGAATCTTTTTCTTATGAAGAAAATCATCCATCCCTAGCTAAATTTTGCAAAAACACATCTGAAGTCTCCCAAAAGAATGTAGGAAAAAATGTGTTCTGGTCTGATGAAACCAAGGTTGAACTTTTTGGCCATAATTCCAAAAGATATGTTTGGTGCATAAACAACACTGCACAGCACCAAAAGAACACCATACCCACTGTGAAGCATGGTGGTGGTGGCAGCATCATGCTTTGGGGCTGTTTTTCTTCAGCTGGAACTGGGACCTTCGTCAAGGTAGAGGGAATTATGAACAGTTCCAAATACCAGTCAATATTGACACAAAACCTTCAGGCTTCTGCTAGAAAGCTGAACATGAAGAGGAACTTCATCTTTCAGCATGACAATGACCCAAAGCCTACATCCAAATCAACAAAGGAATGGCTTCACCAGAAGAAGAGGAAAGTTTTGGAATGGTCCAGCCAGAGCCCAGACCTTAATCCGATGGAAAATCTGTGGGGTTATCTGAAGAGGGCTGTGCACAGGAGAGGACACGCAATCTGACAGATTTGGAGTGTTTGTGCAAGGAAGAGTGAGCAAATATTGTCAATTCAAGATGTGCCATGCTGATAGACTCATCCCCAAAAAGACTGAGTGCTGGAATCACATCAAAAGGGACTTCCACAAAGTATTAGTTTAAGGGTGTGCACACTTATGCAACCATGTTATTTTAGTTTTTTATTTTTACTTCCCTCCACCTAAGAGATTTCAGTTTGTTGCTCAACTGAATTATACAGTTTATAGGTCACATTAAAGGTGGAAAAAGTTCTGAAATGATTTATCTTTGTTTAATGTTTTTACATGACAGAAACCTGACATTTTAACAGGGGTGTGTAGACTTTTTATATTTCACCTACAGCTTGCATGCTGAACCAACCTGAATGCCCATTGTTCATATTTACTGTGTTTTTCTCTTGTCTTTCCAGAGAAGATGACCTTCCTCCCAAGTGCACGCCGTCTACCAAAGTCTTTCACCCAGATGCCTCTTCCTCTGAGCATGACACGCTAACGTCAGCCACCAACACCAATACCTACAACGGTCACTACTGGAGCAACTCCAAGTCCAACTACACCGCTGGCTCATACGTCACCTACAACTGCAATGGGTGCCCCGCCACTCCACTTCTCGCTCTGTCACAGGTCACCCCGAGGCCAATGTACGCAAACGGTGGACAGCCCTCTTCAGGTCCCCCAAAGACATTGATAGTCACAGCTAACACAGCCCCTTCTCCTAAGACTGGTGCTAGGAGCAATGGCACAGTCGGCAGAAAGGCGAAACCTCCTCAAACTAGGTCTTACGCCGTCAGCCAGGCCACATTGGAGAGAATAGGTGCCGTCCCGGTAATGATTCCGGCACAGAGCAGAGCTGGGTCGCTAGTATAGAAAAAGAAAGAAAAAAGGCGTAGCGCTACAAGGGGCAACAAAAGCTGCGTTAGCATGTGGGATGACAGTAAGTCATCCCTGCTCCTCTGTTCTTTCCTTTCATCCAGGCAGTCCTAAAAACGCACTGGACCCAGCCAGTCCTTTGTTCTCAAGAGAGAAGACAATACCCTGGGACAAGGATTAAACAGGGGAAGTGTGGACAGTTTGCCGAAATTAAAACGTGTCCTTGCAGTGCCAAGCACAGCCCCAGGGCTTCCAACGCAGAAATAGCATATGTGCCTCCCTTTTCTCTTGACCATTAGTTTCTGTTCACACACCTATTTTTTTTTTTTCCTTACATTTGCTACGTGTGGAAACCATCTTGCTTTGTCGTTCCATGACGATGGTGCTACGAAGCTCCCCACCAACACGCAAACCCATACCTGCAATCACCAGCTAAAAGTTACACCCATAGCTAATTTTTTTCCCCCACTCAAGCACTTTATCCTCATCTTAGGGAAATAATATTTTTGAAATGTATACTTTACTGGCCCACTGGATGTCATACATGCACTGAGAACCTAACATACAAAAGTTGTCATCAGAAGTTCTGAAATGTTGACATTGGTCCTTCAAACGTTCTTGGTTGTTTAGGGGTGTAGGTGTAGCACCTGTATTGCATTGTTTGACATATGTCACTTTCTATGGTACATTAACACGTTTTTTTTTTTTTTGTTTTACCATTATGTCTATTTTTTTGTAGAGGCTGTTGTGCAGTAATAATCTCTCCAGCTTGACATTTTGAACATTTGTTTTGTTTTTCTGCCCTATTTTCCACAGGTTTTCCTCAATATGTTTTTACAGAATTCTGTTTTTTGTATTTTTGTTTCGTCCCATGATGGCTTGCCTCACGCAACCAGAAATTGGTGTGCTGTGGCTAAAACCATGTAGGTGTCTTTGGTTCTACTACAGGGTGGAGAACCATAGTTTGTCAGGACAGGAACCTGAAAACCATAATGCAATTTATTCTATAGCTTTACCTTAACCACAATTGTGTAGGTACCTCTTGTCCAGGGGATAATCCATGCTCATTTTCAGGTAATCTGGCTAAACCAAATTTCAAGGAGATCACGATCATTCTGGAACCAGTAAAATAAAGCTTTTTAGATTACATCCTTTCCAACCATCACCCGTAGTAAAGGGATTAATGTGTTTTTGACCTCTAGAATCCAGTTGCTTCACCCTATGTTAAGGGCTGTCATTACTTATCACCTCTTCTAATTGGACCTCAGCATTTTCTCTCTCCATCCAACTTGCACCCGAAAGGAAGAATTTACATCAGACACCATTAAAGCAGAAACTTGACATTTGTTAGAAATACTTAATATTTATGTGCCTGAAAAATTACCTTTGTTAAATATCTAGATTCAAATTTTGTTTGTCAAGCTGCAAAACTCTTTAACCCTTTGAGGACCAAGGGACGTATTTGTCCCATGTTTTTAATTGCGTGTATCATCTGATTAAGAACTTAAAACTCTTCTTTTTTTTTTTGGTTTGCGTCAAAATATTAGTTCTTATCAACAAACAACAAATGGATCTAGCTTTTTGCCAATTATTTCATGAAATGGCTTAGTTACAGCAACTGAAGTGTACGAACTTTAAAAACAAAAAAATTGATTCTTTTGGCGTTCCAAAACCTTACGTTCCTCAAAGGGTTAATACTTTAAATGATGTGAGAACTAACATGTAGAACTGGAGTCACTCTAAGCCAAGAAGTATGGTTGGCTCCAGCTCTACGACACCCACCTCTAAAACATGGAAATCACATCACTCTTCACACTGTTCCTATGCTTGAAGAGCCCCTCCATGTCTCCCACCAAATAGTCCTCTCTTGAATTTTGAAGGTCACTAGCAAAGTGAGTCTTTTTTTCTTGTCTGGTTGCTGGATACTTTTAAAGGGATTTTCCACTTTAATCCAAAACCCTTGGATTATTTTAAATAGAATCATGGAACTAGGTGTTTAATTGATTTTGGCATTTCTAAGCTGAATTTCCTATTTTGTGATGTGTAATTTCATGAACGTGGTCAGAGCTTAGCGAATGCGCCCTCAAACTGCTTAGGAATATTATTACAGTTTTTTAATTTTTGACTTTTTTTTCTTTTTTTTCTTTTTTTTATATAAAATGATTTAAAAAAATTTACTAGAGGATGCATGATGGGAAAGAGTGCACAGCAGAAGCTGTTTTTATTTCAGACTGTCTCTCTCTAATTGTAACGTCCTATGACACCCTTTAAACAGAGCAGACTTTGTGAATGTTCCATCATATTGCTTAGAAATGTTATTACAGTTTTGTCTTTATTTAACATTTTTACTTATTTTTTTATATAAAACTAATTTTTAAAAAAAAACATTTACTAGAGGGTGCATGCATAGGAAAGAATGTTCAGCAGAAGCTGTTTTTATTTCAGACTGTCTCTAATTGAAATTTCCTATGGCCCCTCCTTAAATAGAGCAGTCGGGGAGGGGGAAAAGTCCTTTAATTAATTTGGCTCTGTAATCAAGCTTTTGTCACATAAAATAAACAGGTAAACACCTGTAAAAGATTTTACTTTTACAGTTCCATTTGCTGGGTAGAAATGAGAATGCATAATATCAATTTCACTCATCTAAAAATATATATTATTATATATTTGTTTTTTTTTCTTAATGGACTTTTTCTAATTTACACTTCTCAAAAAAATTAAAGGAACACTTTGAAAACACATGAGATCTCAATGGGGAAAAATATCATGCTGGATATCTATACTGATATGGACTGGGTAATGTGTGAGGAATGTAAGGACGCCCCATCATTTGTTGGAAATGAAAATTATTAGCCTACAGAGGACTGAATTCAAAGACACCTGAAAATCAAAGTGAAAAAAAAATGATACAGTAGGCTAGTCCATTTTGCTGAAATTTAATTGAAGCAACTTAAAATGGTACTTAGTAGTTTTTATGGCCCCCACGTGCTTGTATGCATGCCTGACAATGTCGGGGGAGGCTCCTGATGAGAGGACGGATGGTGCCCTGGGGTATTTTCTCCCAGATCTGGACCAGGGCATCACTGAGCTCCTGGACAGTCTGAGGTGCAATCTGGTGGTGGGATGGACCGAAAAATGATATTCCAGAGCTGTTCTATTGGATTCAATGGTATCAATTCCTTCATCCTCCAGGAACTGCCTGCATACCCTCGCATACTCATGAGGCCACATTGCCGTGCACCAGAAGGAACCCAGGACCCACTGCACCAGCGTAGGGTCTGACAGTGGGTCCAAGGATTCCATCCCGATACCTAATGGCAGTCAGGGTGCCATTGTCTAGCCTGTAGAGTTCTGTGCGTCCCTCGATGGATATGTCTCCCCAGACCATCACTGACCCACCACCAAAACAGTCATGCTGAACGATGTTACAGGCAGTATAACGTTCTTTCACGTCTGTCACATGTGCTCAGGGTGAACCTGTTCTCATCTGTGAAAAGCACAGGGCGCCAGTGGTGGACCTGCCAATTCTGGTGTTCAATGACAAAAGCCAATCGAGCTCTATGGTGCCGGGCAGTGAGCACAGGGCCCACTAGAGGACGTCGGGCCCTCAGGCCACCCTCATGAGTCTGTTTCTGATTGTTTGGTCAGAGACATTTACACCAGTGGCCTGCTGGATATCATTTTGTAGGGCTCTGGCAGTGCTCATCCTTTTCCTCCTTGTACAAAGGAGCAGATACCGGTCCTGCTGATGGGTTAAGGACCTTCTACGACCCTGTCCAGTTCTCCTAGAGTAACTGCCTGTCTCCTGGAATCTCCTCCATGCTCTTGAGACTGTGCTGGGAGACACAGCAAACCTGTCAATGGCACATATTGATGTGCCATCCTGGAGGAGTTGGACTGCCTGTGCAGCCTCTGTAGGGTCCAGGTATTGCCTCATGCTGCCAGTAGTGACACTGACCCTAGCCAAATGCAAAACTAGTGAAAAACAGGAAGGATGAGTAGGGAAAAAAATGTGAGTGGTCTCCACCTGTAAAAACCATTCCTGTTTTGGGAATCGTCTCATTGTTGCCCATCTAGTGCACCTGTTGTTAATTTCATTAACACCAAAGAAGCTGAAACTGATTAACAACCCCCTCTGCTACTTACCTGACCAGATCAATATCCCAGGAGTTTAACTGATTTGATGCTACACTCTGATTAAAAAGTGTTCCTTTAAATTTTTTGAACAGTGTATTTTGATGGTTGTCAGCCATGTCTACTGGTCCCAGGGAAGGAAGGAAATATAGGTGATGGAACTTCTCATGCTGATGAATGAAACATTTCAGAGAAAGCTTTACTTGTGCCATAACTTTTGGATTAGAGTGGAAAACCCCAACCAATAAAACTCAACTCAAAATCCATCAATACAGCCAACTAAGATTGCAACCTGCAAGACAGCCTTGTGCTTATGTAACATGGCAAAGACCAATGCACCAAATGCAATAGTTCATAGCCAATTACCTTTTTTGGCTCTCACTGTCCTGGACCAAAAATTGGATGTGTCGCTTTGAATTGCTGGATTTGATTACTGCAATACCTTACTCAATAAACCAACGTATCCTATACATCCAGATAGCAATGTACATAAAGCTGTGAGGCTCCAGCTTACCTGGCTTTAGGTAAATGTATAGCATGAAATTGTATCTTCAGCCAAAACTTTTTAAAACATTTTGGATGAAATTGGGAATGGTTTCATGCATTCATTTTTTGCTGTCTGTATCCCCAGTTTCTCTTGCTTTCAGTGACAATTTTCCCCAGACTGGAAGTTGACGGGAAATCTCTCTAACACCCACACCAGGGTAGGACTTTCATTAGGTTTTTATTGATGTCTGTATTCCCTTTCAACATTTTCCCTCACTTCTGGACACAATGATAATGTTGTCACTGGAAAAGAGGAAATGTATCTGATAAGGATACATAGAACAACAAAAAAAAAAATTTTAAGGAATGAACCATTT